GGGTAATTATGTTATATTTATCATCCTTTGATATAATTTCTCCATAATGTAAATAAAAGATATCTTTGGGAATGTATAATAAATTTCTGTGATGTTAAATCTTCTGGAAATTGTTTCTTCTTTTCTAATTTCTTTTTTATATTTCACTTTTTTCTTTTTATACTGCTACTTACATAATTTACTCCTTTCTTACTGTTATTTCATTTTCCATTATTGTTTTTGACTTTGCTGTACATGTTACTATTGATCATATTCTATCCATCCAAATTCACGCAATCATCTATAAACACAGATGCACGCATGCATGCATACACATATACATACGTACGTATATATTAGAATTGACGGGCATTGGTAAATAGAATTCATCAATGGGAGTAATTCTGAAAATTAAACTCCACGAGTTTAATTAAACTTCATAATATGATGTAATGGGTAAATGGAAATGATTAGGTCTTAAAATGAAGTGCTAAGACGTGAATATAAACAAAATACGGACATATCTATGTGATATTAGAGTTCGTAGTATCAGAAGTGATTGGAACGACATCCAAATTGGACTAGCAAGTTAAATATTTGTCAATATTGAAAAGAAAAAAAGACCGAGAAGATAAATTCTATTATCAAATGCAACCTGGACTATCATAGTTGATCACCGAAGGTTTGATCATATCTAATCGAACATCTATGCTATCAACAATAAAACACAGCATAATAATGTATTGAAATGATTGGATCAATTCAGATGGATTGGTTTTGTTAGGATATTATAAAAGTAGAATAAGATCATATTTTATGAAAAAAATTTGAATATAAATTTTCTCTTGACGTTAAGAATTAAGTTTTGTTGTCAACTTTCGACGTATATATATCGAATAGGAATGAAGTCGATAGAAATTTAGTTAAAACTTTAAATTGCCACATGAAATAGTATGAAATAGTATTTGAAAACATATTATGAAAGTTCGGAAGTGAAAATTCCATTTCAACTGATATTTGCTTTTATCAACGAGTGCTAAAACTGGTATTGCAAAGTTTTATATTCATGAGTATGAACATAATTGCATATAATTTATGCTACGGTTTATGTACTGACTGTTTGAAAAAAAGAAAAAATTTAACTTATTTACACTTTAGAAAACAAACAGCACAGATTTGTTACGCAACTAACAAAACGATAGAGTTAATCAAGGTGTGCGCGTGACATCTTAAAACGTGAAACACCTCGAGATGAGCCATCTTTCGAAGGCATTATAACTGGTATTGATTCGGTGCTTCCATCATTATCAGGTGGATGCCTCTCCAAAACTTTACCCGTAAATGCCTAGAATGAAATAAACATTTTCAAGTATACAATCATTTACAAGAGAGTAATCTTTATACAATCATTTACAAGAGAGTTATCTTTTTATAATTAATACCAACATGATTTACTTGAAAAATTGTTAGGAATTTAAAAATTAATTCAAATAAGAATTCACATGTTCAGAAACCGGTACAATCTCTTTCCAATTTTCTGATTCAACAGCAGCTAAAGCATCAACATCAACCGGTGATTTTTCATTAAAATTGCGCAAAATGGAACGTGGCAAAGGACATGAGAAACGTGGATCGCCATTTATAATCTGAAAAATTTTGAAAATTCCAATAAACATTTTTAGAGTCTTACATCATACCAAAGCTATTACTTTCTATTTCTTCTTTCAATATAATCACACGAATAAGACAAAATCTTTCATTCTCAAAATTTACAAGAAACAGTTCTGATTAATACAACAAATGATCATAGGATATTATATTAAAGAATTAATTAATAATAATAAGCAATATTTACTAACCATTTTCGGTTCATTTTCATGAAGTGGTATTCCTGAATCCGGTGATGAAATTGGTGTTATATTAGCTGAATAAGCTTCATCTTCACTCTTGAAACGAACTGTACGCCGTATTTTTTGAGATTCATTATTTGCATCCTTTAACACCATCTGAGTAATATTTTCCGTCCCATTACATATCGTTTCCGTTTTTTCTTTTCTTGTTTCTCTCCCAACAAACTGTTACTAACTGTATCTTCGTTATTTTCCAGAGAAACATCATCCGAATCAAGGCTACTGCTGAAATTACTGTCTAATTAATTATGTTTAAGAATAATTCAAAATAACACATTTAATAAATTCAGTAATTTACTAAATTATTGTAGCCCAAATAGACATTACTATTCTATTTATAATCAAAAGATTTGCCAGACAGTCGAACGATATATGATTTAAATAGTAAATAATAAATAGAATGAGTAAATGTCTACTTTTGTTTTTCGCTTTTTTGATAAATTATGACAGATATGTAGTGGCTCGTAAGAGTTAGTAACGACGCTCAAATAATGCCACTATTGATTAAAGCGTTGTAGGTTTCATTCTCATCTCAAATGACGAGAATGAAAGCTATATTCCCCAATGGTTAAATTTCATTTGGCAATATGATGCTACTTGCAGCTCGTGTTCAACATGAGCTTGAATTACATGCTTCTTGCACTACACATTAAAAAACAGCAATTACTCCAATGTAATATTCGATGCGATTCAACACCCATCCGAAAATGAAGATGAATACATGATAATTAAGTAGATAATTAAGCATACTACCATTATTTCAAACTATAAAACAGCTCACCTATAATTACTTTCTAATTCACCTGCTTCCTCTTCTTGCCTTTCAAGCTCATCCAATCGTGCTAGCAATTTCTGGTAATCCTAAATTTTAATTCATTTTTTTTTGCATTTTACCCTTAATAAAAAATCATTCTTTGAAAGAGATTGAAAAAAATATTTTTTGACATCTATAACAGTTAGAGAAAACAAAGCTCTCATCTTCAAATTATACACAATCAATTTATAAAGTCTATTTTGTAAAGAACAAAAGAAAAAAAAAATTGTGCTCTGACCGCAGGAAAATTTTTGATTTTTCCATCAAATCCTTCGGTAATTTTTTCATCGTAATCTTCGGTTTCATCCCGTTTCTCACTTGTTTTCGTGCATAAATACTCAGAACTAAAAAAAGAAAAAATTGGAAAAAAATGCAGGAATAAAAACAAAATCACTCATCAAACTGCTTTAAGAATGTTTTACTGGAATGAGGTGTACTGTGTATTAATTAAGAAAGACGAATATGAGAAACTTTAAAAAGAATACAAAAGAAAACTAACATAAGACAGTAAAAAAGCCTTTAACCTACCGTTACAATGATCGATGAAAAAAAAAGAAACGATAAATTCGTAAACATTTACTTCGCTAATTCACTAATTGTCTCAGTTATATCTTTCATTTTATTTATTCTTTCATCTTTTCGTTCGAAATCTTCCTGAAGTAAAAATCTTTGCAATTCACACAGAATAAGAAAAAAGTAAGTTTAACATCATATCGCCTAATTAACATTCTCACCTTTCAAAGCTACTCACTTTTACAAATATATTTCAAGCTTTATACTCCAAATTGTCCTTAATAAATAATGCTCACCTCAGCATTGCATTCTCCTTCTTGTTTCTCTTGTTGCAAATGATCCCTTTTACGCATCAGTCTAACTAAAATGTTATGTTAGCGAAGTAAAAAAGGGAATCGCATCATAATCTACGGTATTAGATTGGAGTAAAGGAAAAACGATTTTCAACTATTACCATATCAATTGGTTAATGAATGAAACTTGCAGAATAAAGTTCATCTCAATCAAAATTTAATCAAAGGACATCATTGCTATTGATAGCTATGCTTAATATTACCTATTACTCTTAACTAATAAATGTCTCATGATATTTATAAATGAATCGATAGATTTAAGCATTCTATTGAAAATTTGCATAAAATATGTAGAGTGTTTCAAACTTCGTATGATGAAAGAAAAAATTAATAATATTACAATCAAGGATGATCATTTCTATTAGAAGTGATGACAAACTTACACTTCTTTTCTTCTTCATACTTTGCTTCATCAAATGGTTCCCGTATTTCAACTTGCTCTCTTTTCTGCAAACAAATTATAAATGATATTTTACGATGCCGTTCTCGCGAAGTATTATAAATTTTAAGCAAAGAAAAAGATAGAATCACTCTGGGAATTTAAAGTAAACTAGTAGGACTGTGTATAATACAAGATTTTATTAGCAAATTATACATTAATCATATATCAGGTTAGAAATAGTTTCGACGATTACGCAAGTTTCACTGGCACTGATCGTTACAATCATATAAAAACTTATCGCACAATCTTTCCACGTCGAGAAATAACTTTGAAATAACTTACCAAATTAAATAATTCACTACCAAATTTTATTTGTGTTAAAGCACGCCTCCTCTGTTCTTCGAAATCGTTGATAATTTTTTGGATAACTGAAAATGAATCTTCAAATTACGCCTTATTTAAACAATTTCATCTCGTTAGTACATAATAAAAAACAACTGTTTAATGTTTTAGTATATCAATTACAACTGTTCATATTATAGCACCTGTTTTCCCATATATTTATTTCTTATTACTGTATGCTACGTTGTTGCAATCTTCCTAATCTCGTAATTTAATATGCAATACATAACAAGCAGTCATAAAAGTAACTGATAATCAAATAAGGGTCAGAAATTATTGTTTTTTTTAACAATGATCTATTTTATGACAAATAAACTTGCAAGATATTCGGCGATCAATAATTCCACATGCATGAAAGCATGAGCAAACTGAGAAATAATTATCACCAAGTAAAACCATTACTTTATTGGTATGTACAATGCGACCAGGCATAAAACCCACTTTACCCAATGGAACCTGGAATTGAAATAATCCAATACATGATATGAATCTATATTTTTAATGAAAAAATTCAAGTGATATTTTAATATCATTTAATAAGCCTTCAGTACCACAGCGCGTATAATTTGGTGAAATTATCAATTCATGTATGCCATACTTTTATAAAAAGGGAGAAACCATTAATTTACGTACGGCATATCTTAATGAAAAATTTATGAAAAATTATAATAAAGTGTTATTCCACTAAAAAAATGCAGGAAAAATTTCCCTACGTTAACATTATGTCTAAGCTTCTTTGGTAGATCTTCGAGATGTTTTTGTAATTTTCTGTAACTTTCAATCTCTTCTTTTCTCTTGCTATTTCTGTGTCACATAATGTTATTTCCTGAAAAAAAAAGAATCTCCGAATTCCTTTTTTTTATTTACCAAGATATCATAAACTTTGATCTTGTTTTCAGTTGATGTAATGATATAAAGTCCAATTCATTACTGTTCTATGAAATTCAATAGTGACAGTTTTGAAAAATTACAGTTAGCTTCGATAGCTTCAACAAAGCATTAGAAACTGTATTTGATTGTTCGCTTGAGGATCAAATGTTAGTCAATTAAAAGTTAATTACCCAAAATTTCCGATAGTTTCTACCTGAGTGACAAATATAATAAACTACTGTAAGTTTCAAATCATCAACCTTTTTATGAAAATGAAACATGACCATTCTTAATTGACAATTGGAGTAAGTTTCAGAAATGTATCGTAGTAAATGAGAACAATTATGATATTTTGACCCTTGTCCCTTTTCTTTTTAAATGAAATTAAAAAAAAAATAATTTCCCTCTTTTTCTTTTCCTTCAAAAATATCATAATAAAATAAAACCTTATCAATCGATTCCTTCATGTGACTCAATTTTGTCGTTTCAGTACAATCATACCATTTGTTCATCGGATAAATCTCATCTATCTTATCCATTACTGTAAAAATTTGTCATTTATTTACCGATAATCAACAATTTTTTCCTTTTTTTTATTCGCTAATTATCTTATTAGTTAGCTATTTTCTACTCATCATTCAACTTCAACTATTTCATCCACTTTCCTATCAACAAAAAAGAAAAAAAGTACAGAACAATTATCAACATGAAACTTGATTGAATGACTGACTGACAATAAATAATCAATGATAATAATAAAAATAGTAATAATAATAACAAAAATAAAATAATAATAATAATAATAATAATAATAACAATAGTGATAATAATAGTAATAATAATAATAATAATAGTAAGTATTATTATTATTACAATGTTGAGCTTTCTTTTTAATTTGGCCATTATATAAATCCAAAAATGCTAAAAATAACAAACGTTTTAAGCATAATTATCTATTGTTTTGCTTGATATGAATAATTTCTGAGTGAAAAAAAGCTATAAAACTAGTAACAGATATGTTTAAAAAAAATCACTGTGATTCAAAGCAAATATTGATTTGATATTTTCAATCATCCAACATTTCTCATATCAGTATCATTTGCGAATGAAAAAAATGCAAAGCATCTCGTAAATCATTTAAATCATTACTTTATCATCATAAAAACATAAACAAAAATAAAAAGGAAGACATTTTAATTTTAAAGGAAGACATAAACAAAAAAATAAAATGAGGTGGCATCAAAAGGTTTTTTGTAAACATTAATAAGCTTAAAAAACTTGAGCCATTTTGTTTAAATTTCCGCCATTCTTATGCATTTTTTTTCATTTTCTTTATCTTCATTTTTAGAGTTATCTCTTTTCGATTATTCTTCATCCTATTCCCACATTTAATTTTCATTATCACATTAACGACACTATTATTATACAAACTTTTTTGTATACATTATGATGTAGCAAAAGTTAAATATCAAAAAGAGTAAAGATCGAAAACAAAAAAAAAGGAAATCAATCATTAATTTCCCTCCTCCCCCTCCTTCTTTCCTCTATTCTCATAGTTCTTTCTTATTTTCTCCCGGTTCTTTCAAAGTTTTAGAAAATTTTCAACTTTATATGTGAGACTATTTCCATTATAAACATGTCTATCTCATCACAACACTACAATTAATTAACAATAACAATACACAATGTATAAAACATCATCGATTAATATTTCCTATTCATGACTAATACTGCTGCTGCTGCTATGGCTACTATCGCCTATGATAAGATCAGCAACTGTTTCAGCACAACCCCATCCTAAAGTTAAACCATGTCCGCCATGACCATAATTGTGTACAATCTGAAAAAGAAGAAATTCGAATCTAACAATTCAATTCGAAAAACTCTAAGATAACACATAACCTTCGGCATAACAAATCAACATATGTGGATCAGTAATCAATTTTGAAAGATAAATCTAATCTTGCAAATCAATGACTGAATGATTATTTACAAATTACTAAGCCACAATTTTGTAGGAAGTACTGCCATGGATCAGATGACTTCACGTTAGATGATTAGGTCCCATATGTCGTTTTGAAATTGAACGACATTCGATGAAGCAGCCAATATGCTAATTTAAGAAAACTGAACATTCTTTGATGTTGTTGTTATTGTTGACGACAATAATGCAACGAACCTTAACTATTTTCTCGATGGAATTTTTCTCGAGTTTTGGATCTTGGTATCGAATCGTTGTCATTTCCAATCGAATGCCACCTTTTCGACCCGGTCTCAAACCAGACCATTCATTTAAAATAGTTGCACCCTATGAAATGACAGTTATCCATCACTTTGCCAATTAATTTTACTATTTTGGATTGAGTTTAAAAATGGATGAATCGATAATTCTAGACCAAGAGAGCTAATTAATGTACTCTATCTCATTAATATAGCTACTATTTTATAGCCCAGATTCATTATATTATAAGCTTTAGATTAAGCAAACTAAACTCAGCAATATTTACTTACTTAATTATGCTTAATTATGCCATAATAATCAGTTAAAGTGGATTAGATACAGCTGAATGTGATACAGTAGGATCTCAGCTGGATTTTCTTAGTAGGATCGCAGTTAAATTTCTTTTCCAAGACTCATATTACGATTTAAAAAAAAGAGCAAACGATAAAAAATACATCAAATGATAAAAAAATGATAGAAATATATCTATTTGTATTAATTAATACGTCTATACTTACATACCTTTACCAATTATTATTTAAGTGGCAAAAAAAGTGGAAAAAATGCATATTCAGAAAATATTTAACAAATAATTAACTAATTTAAAGTTTTCATTATTAAAATTTTGACAAAATAACTTGTCAACTTTTCACATATTTTATACTTACTTTCATTGCTGGCTGCAATCGATAGTAACGATTAAGGATATCAGTCCGATCAGCGGGTGTAATTTCAAGATCATACCTACCAGCCTGTTTCACAGATCCAATAAAGACTTTATCCGTACTGAAAGCACAAAAGCAATAAGCATGATAATTAGAATTTGATCTGCTATGATATAATATCTACAGAAGAACAATAATTATGCAAAGGAAATAATAGATGAAAAAAACGGAAAAAAAGAATGAAAACTAACGTTGGTATAGAAAATGTTTCAAATCCTTTATATAGAAAATGTTTATGCCATGTTGCATTAACCTAAAATAATAGTATACGAAAAAATTTTTGGATTGTAAAATTGTTCGAATGTAATAAAAAAAGAAAATTTAAGTAACGACAAACTAACAGAATAAGAAATAACCTCATATTTAACCAAATATCAAATATATTTCTAAGTCATTCTACTGCAAAATTTGACTTTTCTTTTCAGAAAAAAGAGGCATATGACACAAGAATATCCCATTGATGTAGGAGCATGTTCATGCAAACTATTTATTCTTTTATTAAAATTCAATCTCATAACTAAAATATGATATGAAAATGATAACAACATTTTAGCAAGGAAGTATTATGATAAGGTAATAATGTTATCAATTAAAACAAAAAAAGTTATCACGCACTAGATTAATTAAAGTTATGTGATTAAAATTATTGCAAGCTTTCCATAAAATGAACTAAAAAGGCATTCTCGATTGATTCATCATTAGCCTATAAAAAACTATATGTAGTATTTCATTTCATCAAATTGCACTAATTTAATTTACGCAAACAAGCTCAGATATAAACCGGTTTTCTTGAATGTATATCTAAAATATTACTTCAAATATAATGCCTCGTATCGGAAACATATTCTTGTCATCACCATCACCTGCTACTTTACCACCATTTAATCCTGCACAATTTACGATAACATCAAATTCATCGAAGAGCTATAAATAATCAAAAATTATTTATTTAATTTGAAACTAATTCTGCTTGTTTTATTACTACATCATTTCAAATAAATTTAAGAATGATAAATATAAGATAAAAATACCATTATTTGGGAATATTTTAATACGCATTTTATTGTTACAAGACCAATGACTTTTTGATTATATCCTCATCCATATTTCGTAATTACAATGAACAAAGTAAAAGAAAACGATAATAATTGGTGAAAAAAAATGAAAGAAATAAAAGGATAAAAAGAAATAATCTCAATTTCACATGATATCTATGTCACAAAAAAAAAGAGAAAAAAGTTTTTTGATTATATTCATCTCAATTGTAATTGCAATTTTTAATTCTAATTAATTATTTTCCTTTTCAACTAAATTTCACTTAATCAATTAAGAAAAAATATTTTCAGACTTTCTTAAATCAAAACTTTTGATCATATTGTCCAAATTTTAATTACAATTAATTTTAAATTTCAATCAAGCATTTTATTCCTTTACTTAAATTTCATTTAATCAGTGATTAATTTCAGGACTTCACGAATTAAAATTCTTCATTTATCCTACTATTAATCTAATATAATATATAATATTTCAAATGAATATTAATTTAAATTAGGAAATGAAAATGTTAACTTACATCTCTAACTGTATTAATATGACGTTGTATAAAACGTACACCTTTTGCTAGTAATTGTTTTTTCATCCATGGTACATATTTACCTCCTTCTGTGGTATATGTTGTAAAATGTATCGCAAATATACGACCATTTTCATCTTGATCAGCAAACTGTTGCATTTCATGTTCTCGAAGATAACGAAAATTGTAAACAACATCACCATAAATTTCATCCTTTAAAATAATTTTGATAATCTTACTAAAATTTAATACGAAAAGTTTTTGTCATATTCCGAAAAAGAAAAGAAAAATCAATTCTGACAAATTTCAAGGAAAAAGAGAAAAACATAAATTTCTGAAAAAAAATTAAATTACAGAACTTGTTCAACAAGTTCTGTCAAATTTGTTGATAAAATATGTCCGGATAATAAATTAACACCGGATATTTCCCCACCATATTCTCGAAATAATTTAGCATAACGAGGAAATGATCGTTTACCGTAAGCTCTAAAAAATAAGAATAATAAATAAATAAGGAAAAAGAAAGGAAGTGACGGATTTGAATTTGAAAAATAAACTTAAAATTTTTTTTCAATTATTAAAAATGGTAATTAGATAATAACCATAATACAGAATTTTTTTCGTTTTAGTTTATGTAAAACTTACAATAATAATAAGTAATCAAAATATTTCAATACATTACATGTACTGTATGAAAAGAATTTGTAAATTATTTAGAACATTTGCAATGAAATTTTGTTTTAAACTATAATTAATTTCATTTTCTTTACATTACTCAATTAACCAATATGTTTTTTTTCTACTTATATGCATAATTTACTATCTTCTAATTGATTTTTTCATTTCCACATCCATTCCCCGTTCTTATCATTTTCATTAAGGAATCATTCCAGAAATAAAAAAAAAAAGACAAATCGCATTAATCAGCTTGACATATATTCCACATACCACAAACTTCAGTTTTTTTTCCCCATTTTTGATCGATTTGTTTCGGAATTTTTGATTGAAAATTGACTCAGCAAGATAAACAACTCTCTCTCTTTCTCGAATTTATTTCATTTTCTTTCAAACTTTACATATTTCATAGCTAAATTAATTGAATACTGTTTAGTTAATTTCAAATGCTTAAACCACTCATATAGTTACTTACTATAAAGTAAACTTTTCAACTGAAACACATTAAATTCATATTGGATTCTAATTTACATAATATATGTAAAAGACACTTCTTTTTTCACTTTTTCGATAACATTGAAATTATCAAGCAGAAAACTTGTTGACTTAATAATTTCAATTTCATATGTAAAAAAAAAAAAAAAAAAAAAAAAAAGAAAAAGAAACACGTTTAGGTATGTAGTAAAAGCAATATGCAATAATTGGAGAAAAAAAAAAGAACAAAAACGAAAGAAAAATGAAACGAAAGATATCATGATAGGAATTTAAATTGTGATGACAAATGAAGGGATGAAAATTACGAAGTGAAAAATAAAGAAATCCTTTAATTTCCTTCCCTTTTTTTTTTGGCCATATTTAAACAAACCTGTTTTCAAGTGTGTCAACTCGAAACAAGCCAGCAGGGCCAAAAGTAACAGTCTGTTCAAATGGTACATTATAAAAGACTGTAATATTAAGACTTGGATCACGTTCAATTAGCGCCAAAGCTGATGATGCTCCAGAAGCACCTTCACCAATAATTGCCACAGATGTACGACGGCGAATTTCTTCACCATCGACTAATACTTGAAAGAAATTTTTCTTTTTTTTTCTTTTTTAATGTTTATTTCTAACGAATATAAACCATATTTGAAAAAACCATAATAAACCATATTTTTTATAAAACACCATATTTGCTCGTTTTCATTCACATCAGTTATTTGTTGACTGATTAATTAATTCGGTACTTATTTGGTAAAATTAAAAACCCATATGCTGCAAGAATAAATAAAAATATATATATTATTTTGTTATATAATTAGAAAATATCCAAATCTGATACATATTTTTGTTATTTAACTAAAATTTATTACCTTATAAGCAAAAATTTGATCACCTTTTTAAGTGATATAAATCTGCTGATTTTATCTTAAATCAAAATCAACGTTATACAATTACTCATTTAATTGGTTATCTTCAATACTTAATGCTATGACTATCGTCGTAAACTATAACATAAAATTTTTACGTTAAAAAAAAAAAACACATAAACAAATAAATTTGACTAATCAAAATATTCTTTATCAAATACTCAAAAATTTTTTGATATTTTTTAGGCATTCAAATATTTCAAAAATATTTAGTATTCCGAAAGAACTTAAAACTTGCTTCACTTATTTAACATACATATTATTTATATATAATCATAAGAAATTATAATTCTAATAAAATTAAAATTTAAAAAAAAGAATTTCACAAACCTACAGCCATTGCAATAAATAATATTTGCAAATGCATTTTTGGGAAATATTCCATATAAAAATATTGGCCTAAAAAAAACAAATACTTTCCTCTTTTTATCACTTAAAAAAATATTGTGAAAAGAAAATACAACAACAAAAAGAAAAGACTCAAAATATTCTAACAGTGTAAGAAAAAGAAATGGGAAAAAAAAGATGCTATCAGTATAACAGGTTTTTTTTTTTTTATAAGCCTCGTTTCAAAATTCATGAAAAAAAAACCTGTTGTAATAATGACAATTTTAATGCAGTCGTTGATTAATATTTGAAAAAGCAAGAAATTTTTCAAATCAATTAGAAAAAGATCATAAAAAACAAAACAAAAGAACAGCGAATGAAATTTTCCAAATCCTAATCAGTTATCAATCAATCAAAGTAAATGGGAAACTAAAAATACTCTTCAAAAAAAAAGTTTTGAAGTAATAGTTAATCAAGTGTGAATGAAGAATGTTTCTTTTTTTTTTGTTACACATATTTCAGGTTAAGCGTATGCCTAATGCTTTCAAGTATGCTAAATCTAGCTTAAGCTTAGTATTTCAAAAATTTGATAAATAGACTAAAAGGTAATATGATTACATAAGTACGTACAAGTGTAAGTTTGAGTCGAAATAACAATAACAGCGAATTTAGAACGAAAAAAGGAAGCACGTGTATGAAACATAATTGTTTCTTTCTTGAGCAATTTAAAAAAGAAGGCAAGAATGTTTGGCACAGAGTTTTGAAAGCCTAATGATTTAAATTCAAACACTAAACATTGTATAAATTATGCTTGCAGTGAAGCGAAAATATTTGAAAATAAAATTTTTCACAGTAAAATGTGTCTGATAATTCAATTAACCAAAGCAGATGTAGCACGAGAAATTAGCTTTTATTGGAATGAAGGAAACATTCCATCTAACTACTTTTATCTTTAACAGCCTAAAATATCCAAGGTTAGTATGCTAAATTTAGCCATTTAGCCTAAATTTAGCATTTCAAAGATCTGATCAGTACATTAAGAGGTAAACTAATCATAAGTATATACAAATGTAAGATTGAGTCGAAATGACAATAATAGCAAACAATAATTAGAAATAATTATTTTTTGTCGAAATGACAATAATAGCAAACAATAATTAAAAATAATTATTTTTTGTAGCTGATAATATAATGATTAACAACAGCAACAATAACAATTAATAATTAATGAAAATAATGATAATAATAATAATAATAATAATAATAATAATAATAATAATAATAATAATAATAATAATAATAATAATAGTAATAATAACAATAATAAGAATAATAATAATAATATTTGTTATTACCGTTATTATTGATTAATTAATTATAACTGTCATTCTTAATTACTTAACTAGTATTGTCGAATAGTACAGTTAAACTTATTTTCATGTGAGCTGTTTACACCTGTCCTTCATCTGCTTAGAAGTCAATTATAACTCTCATATCCTTTCTAATAATTATTTTTCACCAGAAAAAATAACTCAACCAATCATCGAGATTACTGTGAATCAGTAATAGAGTTAATATGATCCACGATATGTGATGATATACTGATAACAGTTATCAGAAGTCATCAGGGATAGGACAAGTAATTTATTGTGTAATATATGATGTACATTTCAATTGTCTTTGATTATGCATATGACTTCGTGAAACTAAGGAAAACTTTATTTCTTTTATTTTCTTTTTTTCAAAAAAAAATTTTATTTCAAGAAACTTTTAAAGTTTATTTCTTTCAAAGCCTTTACAAAAACTTTTAGGAATTTTATTACCTTTTGTCCTTTGTCGATTATTGACAAAAATCGAATGAAAAATTTCAACCTTTTTATAATTTAAATATTTTTTTGTTTAAAATTCATCCTTACAATTTACCGATTCGATTGATTTTATGCTTAAATCAATTTCCTTTTGATGTTTAGTAAGACAGATATTGATTCATTTGTATGACGTTTTCGAACAGCCAGCAGAATAAACTTTGTAGCAAAAAAAAAATGATTCAATTTAAATAAATGAATCGATATTTATGACTCATCATCTGAACAAATCACGATATATTGGTCAAATTTACATAAGTTACTTTTAATTCCTTTGTCCAATTAACTATCTTCACGGAAAAGTCAATGTGATAAGAACCAAATATGCAAATACGAGAAGTATTGAAAGTTGAAAATGCAATCCTAAATGACAAAATCAGCGCTTGCGCTGTTACATTTATACCATCTGATAGTGATAGAAATGTTATAGTATAGTTGATAAACAAAGTTTAATTTCATATTTGTGCATCTAGCAAGAAATTTGAAAAAATACTATCAGTAAGAAGTGATAATATCCCCTTATCAATTCTTCTAAAATAGCGGTCCCACTTGATAGTCATCATATCATTTAATAATGATCATTGATAATGGAATGTTGTGGTATAGCTAGTGAACAAAGTTTAATTCCATATTTTTTGTGTATCTAGGAGGGGATTTGAAAAAATACTATCAGTAAGAACTGATAATGTCTCCTTCACCGACTTCTAAAGTAACGGTCCCTAAACGGTTATCAGTGAGCATTAAATTTGAATCGGGAGGGCTATTAAAAATTGTTTTTTATATTATAATGCTATTCCATGCTTAAATAATATATTAAAATTTTCAATTTAAGTTTCTTTTCAAATTAATAAAATTTATCGTTTTTTTTCCAGTAAATAAAGCCAAAATGTTCCCTCATTAGGAAAAGATTGGAAATTATATTATAAGGTAATATATTACTCGGAGAGAAAAATTGTTGTTTGAGGCATAATGGATTTGTCAGTGGTAATAATAGTTAGTATTACGGTAATATTTTGAAATTATAAGGGAACTGTATTTGGTATGCAGTTTATGAGAGTTTAAAGTTTGATAAATATATTCAAAGACAGCATTAATCGCATCAACATTTTTACGGATGACTTAATGATGGCCTTTTTTTTTCTCTCATTTTTAACGTAAAAGTGTTAAATTGTTAAATCATTCAGATAAGCTTTAATAAGCTTTTATTTTCTTGATTACCATCCAAAAATGCTTTAAAAAAATAAATATGTCAAAGGCGCATTGGTTGCATTAATTTTTTTAACTATTTTTTTTTTTTAAACAGCTATGCAACATTTGATACTACCTGCATTGAGTAATTTACAATTTATCTGTGTTATTCTTGGTAGTTCACAGTGTGACTAAATTTTTCGATAAACAATAAAAATGCGATTGCAATGTTTTCTGTAAACAGAATATGTCAACAAATCTAAAAATGCAAATAAAAGGAGCACAATTTGTCGTCTAATAAAGTATAAAGTTTAATGAAAGGATGTCGAAATATCATTAACCCTGTACAAGGTAAGTAATTTGTAAAATTTGTAACGAAAAAAAAATTAGAAAAACTTAAAAGCTAAGTGCAAATGTTGTATCCTCCACTACAACGTTTTTCATCATTCATATATATATATATATGCTTTACTATATGACTTCCTACCTTACACCTTACTTACCAAACTTATAATTTTTGTCATACATTAATTACCACAATCATTTAACTAACTTCTTTGATTGTGTAAAAATTTTGATTAATTTAATATAAAATTTAAATAATAGGATGATGGGAGGGAAGAGAGAAGGAGAGTGGGTTTATGTAATACGTTTAAAATAAGATATTATTTGAAAAAGTTCATTTTCTAAAAAATGACTGATTTCCGGTTTATGATTGAGTGTTAAAATTTTCCTGAAATTCTTCAACATTAAATTATATATTTACAACAAAGAATTTTTCAGTTGTTATGGTTGTTTTTCTTGATTATTTTGTTATGATATTATTATGTACATTCGACCTGATCATATCTTCAGGTTTGTTTTTTTTTTTTCAACAATTACAACAAAATATTAAGCAATGCTAAGCAGTAATCCTTTTTTTTTTTTGCTTACGTAAAAAAATTCCGGAATTGCCCAAAGATCCTAAAATAAACAAGAATTTTCTTTCAGAAAACTTCAAAATTTTCCAAATAATTAAGAATATTAATACCATTTGGTTTACTATTTATTGATTAATTAAAAGTACCATTTGTTTTATCGATTGATCTCGTATAATCAAATCTATTTGATCATAATAGATCAATTCAGAATTCAAACCATTTACTTTATACTATCAATCTTCTTTTCCATTCTATGATAAGATTTAAAATTAACGAAAAAATTATTTACAGTATAAATTTATGATAATAGCAATGAAAGAAGTCAAGTCAATAAATACTAATAAATCACACAGTGTGGAAATTGCTTGCATCTATGATAGTTGCATTTTTTTTTCCTCTCGATCCTTCTGAGAGAGGAAGAAAGAGAGAGAGAGAATAAGAGATAAAAGTGAGGAAAAAAATATAATGGAAATGAGGTGTTCATATCATAAACTCTCATTATCAATTTCATTATTATCATTATTATCATTTAGATCGAACAAATAATATACGAACTGATTTATTTCATCTAAAATTTTTATCTTTCTTGCTTTTACAGCTATTATTCCATTTAATGAGTGGGCGTTGTTAAAAGAAAAAAAAAGAAAAAGTTAGCGAAATTTACTGGTTGTTTTTTGATGTATTTAATAGATTGCAAACGATTAGTTTTCATAGGTTTTTTTTATTAACTAAAATGTTGAAAATATATTTGAAAAAAGATAGATTTAGAGAAAAAGAAGGAAGAATGAATGGATCGATTTGTTGAAGAAATTTTTAAGAGCTTATTGAACCAATCATTCATTCCCTATATCCGATCCCATCTGTTATTTCAACTTTCACTATTTTTCTCTATTTCATTTTCTATCAATTTCAATTTTAGAATGCTCATTCATTCATTCATTTTTTTTTCCCAAATATTTTTGATAGCTCATCTATACTTTCCTCTCTCCCTCTCTCCCTCTCTCCTCTCTTTCTCTCTCTCCCTTTCTGTATGTATGTTTTTCTCTCAAATATTTAATTTTTTCTTAAAATTTCATTCATTTATTCTTATTTACAAAAAATAATGCAAGGATTTATATTAATTCGAATTTGACCCAATGCTAATTAGCATAAGTAATTGAATTGCTTATTTATTTAATTATTAAATATTTTTATTGTAAAAAGTTTATTTGGAAATATTCATTTAGAAATATTTATATTAGAATAGCTAAAGATGTTAAGGATATTTATGTAATTCAAGCATTGATATGTTAATGGTGTTAATGTAATTTTGACATTTTTGATAAGTTTTTTTTCCATTATTAAAATTTAATTATATATATTTTCTATGATACTAAGATATTTTTATGTTTAGATGAATGAGAATTCGCTTTTTTCACTTGTAAACAAACGGTTCAACTGCTTTTTGAAGAACGAAACAGAGCATACTTTAAAAAAAAAAAATTAGCAAGTTGAAAAATGCTCTAACAGTGTTACAATTCCTAATCACTAATGTTATACCTTGTGCACTTCACATTTGCGCTTCACATTTTGCGCTTTAAGTTGCATTTATATCAATTAGGTTTGATTATCAAACATTGCTTTTTTTTGTTTTATTCACAACTTAGACGAATCAATTCAATGATGCCATCAAACACACCAACTGCTTATAACAGATGCAATAATTTATTTATTTATGTAAGCATTTACTTAAAGCTTAAGCATAGTTCTTTTTGCGCCAATACTTTATCTCAACCTCTTTCATCTTCTACGAACTCTCAAATCCTATCTCAACCTCTTTCATCTTCTACGAACTCTCAAATCCTTTCTAATAATTATTTCTGATCAGAATAGCTACCATTCTTCCCCCTCAAATTTTGGCTAAATTTGAAGTTGCATTTATCAGATGATCTGTTGACTTTATTTTAAATGTGAATGAATGTTAATTAAAACACCTTGCTTGGCATTAATTATATAATTGATAATTTGTAATTAAATTCACTTTACTCCATTTGCCTCTCTACTGCTTAAATTCAGGTAATTTAAGCTCCTAACCTAATTTAATCTAACCTTATTATTACCTCGATTAATAATATGTCCCATTGAACTCGATAGTATTTTGATAAACTGTTGAATTCTGTCATAATTAAAACTATCTTTTTGGCCGACCAAGTACCACTTCAAAAGATCCCGTCATCATTCGTTCCCGGTACATTTCCTCTGGTCATTAAAATATTGAAAAATTATTCTCACTGATTAAACCGTTTCCGATTAGAAAAACAAGAAAACTGATATCAATACGATAGTTATGGTCAATGTCTACAACCAGTTGCAGGAGTTGATCTAAAATTGGAGTAGCTTTGTTTTAGGAAAAATTTTGAAGTTCAATTTTGGAAACCTGATCAGGTAGTTCTCTATTCGCATAATCTAAATTATCTCAAATGACTATTCGGTTATTTTCATAGGTAATATCAAGAAAATTAAAAAGTTGATTTTGTTTGACTTTCACAAATTTCAAAAAACTCTTTTTGTAGATAAGAATGTGTGGGATTTAAATGCATTGGCAGAAATTTGGGAAACAAGAATTTTTCCAGCAAGAATTAATTTCCAAAATTACTTCAAAAATTAATTATTTTTAATCCTTCCGGACTTCCAAGTACTAAGGCTTACCTCACTTTTCCGTATTCTGTGAATATTTTGTGATTTTTCGTATTCTGTATATTTCCGGACGTGAAGCACATTTCCGGATACAATTGGATAATGATTAAAAATCTAGAAAAAAACAGCACATAGTGCACGTTTTCTTTCTTACTGTTCATTTATTAGCAATAATTTTGTTGATTAATTCCCGAACAATTCATGATTTCAAGCATTGATCGAAATAAATATTTAATTAGTAATGTATATTTCTATGTTGAAAACAAAAATTCTATCCTTGTTATCTTTGCTGTGATGTAGAAATTTAAATTGAACAGAATTATTCAAAGTCAACAATTTCAAGTTTAAAATTTCATGGTTGAAATTTCGGATTTGTGAAATTAATATTTTTCAACTTTAAATTTTACACTCAACTGAAGCAAGCAGTCAGCATTGACTTTTAAAATTGTCAAGAATATATTAGAATCATTGTGAAATTTCTTTCCAGCTGAGCAATTTTTGCGGTTCGGTGATATTCAAATTCAAAAATTTTGTTCCATAGCTTATAGGCTGGCAATATATATTATTATTTAACCACAATATATCGGTTAATTAATTTATTAATTTTAAGAGTGCACATATTGCTGAAAGCGAAATGATTTAATGTTAAGTATTTTCTTTCTGAATTAGCTCAGCGAAAATTTCCCATTGACTGTTACAGTCCAAAAAATGCCGCACAATATCGAGGAAGATGAAGAGGAGGAGGAGGAGGAGGAAGACGAAGTACCAGTCACTTTACGCAAAGGTTCAGGTTTCAAAATGGTTACCAGCATGACACCAAACGTGAACCAGAGCACGACAGGGACAATGAGCAGCGTTGATGATCAACATACTAAAACAGGTTTGATTTGTCACCTACAGTCTTTAATCTTTCAATTTTCTCTTTAGCTTTCTAATTTAGTATTTTTAAAGCTGGTCAAATATTTTGTGGACAAATGCGCTTTCAAAGTATCTTTTTGACCTGTTTTGACCTGCATGGAACATTTTGATCTGTTCACTTTCCTCATTATTATTCAACGATTTCTAGATTTCGTTCTTCAAAATGATCATCAAAGGAAATCGTGAAAGAAATTCATTTTCAAACTTTTAGTTCATGAGACAACAACACGGACGGAATCGCATGAAGTGATTAGGCCACAAGGACAACCACAGATTGAATTGGATCCAGCAGAAGTTGAGAGAAGGGAAGCGGAAACTCGTGCGCAAATTGAATTACGCCAGGCAAAACTTATTGCTGAGCAGAAAGAAGCAATGGAGAAAGCACAGCAAGAAGCCCTTCAACGAGCTCAGCTGGCCCAGCAGCAAGCCATAAAGGAAGCGCAAGAACGTGCCCAACGTGAAGCTCAGATGCGTGTTCAGCAGGCACAAGCTGAAGCGAAGGCCAAGCAAGCCGAAGCTGAAGCAAAGGCAAGGCAGGCACAAGCTGAAGCCAAGAAAAGGGCTGAGGAAGAGGCAATACGGCGAGCGGAACAAGAGGCTCGGATTAAAGCGGAACAGGAACGCGCAGAGCAACTTCGTGTCCAGCAACAGGCCAAGATAATGGCTGCCAAACAAGCTCAACAAGAACAAGTTCGAGCTCAAAATTTGCAGCAAAATCAACCATCGAATGTTCAACTACAAAAGAAGCAACAACAGCCTAATCAACCGCAATCTCAAGTACCAACAAGACAATCTCAGATACCGGAAAAGCAACCTCAAATGATGGCAAAACAGACTCAAGTACAAGCGGCAAAACAAGCACCAATAAAGCAAGTGCAACAAATGCCTCAGCAACAGCAGCAAAAAAAAGGTCCAGCAGTACCAGCAAAACCTGGACAACAAACTGCATCTGCAGCAACAACAGCAGTTAGAGGTGGTCTAATAGGTCATAAATTATCAGCACAACGAAATGGAGGAAGCGTGCTGCAAGCTCAGGTAGCACCAGTATCTCGAACACCTGCTCAACAACAGACATCAGCAACGCAATTAATCCCGAACACTGGAAACAAAATTCAAGTGATGAGAGGTGGTGATGTACAGCAAGCTTACCTGAACAATCTTATTAAACCTGCGGAAATGTTACCGCAACAAGAAGTAAAGCCAATACATACCCAGGTAACTCTTCCTTCACTTGCATCATACGTAACATATAATCATCATCATTCTTATTTTATGAAATATATGAGCTTCACTGTATGAGATCATCAACATTACAATGAATACATCGTAAGAATGAGCTGTATTAAGTAAAAAATGTAGTGTACCATGTAAGAATGTACTGTATTTTTTGATATACGATAGTCGCTTATACAAATAATATCATACTGTATCGCGTTATTTGATATAGTAGTTTGAAGATTTAAGTTTACATCAAGTTTGTATGTCTTATGTTACACAGTATCATAAGTACTATAAAAGGGCGCAGACTTGTGAAGTTTTTAGTAAACAAATTAAACTTTTTCCATTACAAATTAAAAAGTAAATATTCTCGTGTTTGAATTTATATTCCTACCAAAAGTACAGCTGGTAGGAATTGCAAATAGAACTGTTCATTTAAAAGTTCATTCGAGAAATTTTCTATGGTACTTTAAATTTGCTTCAATCTGATGAAATTAAACAGGTGGAAATCCTAATTTATTGATTTTTTTATCCAATTCATTTTTGTATAAATTTCAGGAAGATCAATCATGGGTAACACAAAATCGAGTACCAGTTGAAATTCAAGCTCCTCAACCGGCAAGAATTACTATCCCAGATTTACACGGAAGTGTTGAAGTTAAGGTATATTTGAGAGATTTCTGCATTTCATACAATAAGGATTAAACTTATGAAAATCTGTGATGTTTTTAGTTTGAATTATTTTCTGTTATTCATAAATATCTATTAATGGTTTGTTATATGGACTATTGATTGATTATCCATTTGTGAACTATATCTTTGATAAGTAGTTCCGTGATTTCCGATATTTGATCATATCTACTAGCCATGAGCTTACAGTTGGTTGTTTTGTCCGATCGTCTATCTCAATTTTTTTTGATCAAATTCACTCAAACTTTAAAAAGGACTGGTAAACGATAAGACTAGCCTCGTTTCAAAATTTAAACTTACAGATACTTCAAACTGCTCTTTTTTGCAAGATTTCTCGGGGGCTAAACCTGAACATTATAACTGTTAGTCCTTAGTAATTAATAAGTTAATTTTAGATTTAACAGTTGATAATTAATATCACGAAAAGTTTCGAAATTTCGAACTTCAGCAAAGTTTTAAAAAACTAAAGTGCAAGCTCTTTTTGCAAGATTTCTCAGGAATTAAACTCTTTAATTCTTGGGTGGAAATGAATGAGAAATGCAAACTGTGAGAGAGTATTAGTTAATTTCAAAGAAAGTATTTCGAACTTGGACCAATATTTTAGCCAACAGTAATTGTTCCACGCCCAATGCAAACAACTCGGGTAGAATGGAATGAATTTCCACAGGAGGAAGCAAAAGAAATGAGAGATGTTCCGAGAGTTAAAGCTGGTGAATGGCATCCCGACAATCAGGTTTTTAGATTTCGTTTGGAATAGAATATTCCATTGATTACTTTGAATTTCCTATTACTTTTGGCCAATGCAAAATTGTGCCCTTCCAGAAGAGAGTAAAGTAGTAGGAATGGTGCAATTTTACTATTTCTGAATAAGTTTTGAAATTTACAGGGTGAAATTATTGGTGCGCAATCGGTCAGAAGTGCATATCAGCCAGGTCGTATTGGACATGTTTGGCCACCACCACAAAATGAAAATATCGCACCACGGTTTGTACATTTCAACTCAATTATTTTTTTTTATTTTTTAATCTGAAAATCCAAACTTATGCAAGCTGGACATTTGAAATGCCTGGTCATTTAGTATTATGCATTTGGTTAAATGCTAGTTATGACCGTTGATTAATCATCATATAAGCTTATAATATTATCAGTTCAATTATGAATGATTAAGTTATCCATATTATGGCATCCAAATTTACTTTCTTTAGAGTTGGCTCTTATACTCATTGCCAAAGGTAGCAAAAAAAAAAGAAAAGTGGAAACATTTAATAATTGTCGTAGTTTTCATTTTGGGCGCAAATGTTATACATGGATAAACCTAAAATTTAAAATTCTTTCTTAACTAATATCAGCATTTATTTATCTTCATTAATTATATAAAGAGTGACAATTTGAACGTTCTTTTTTTTTTCTTACAGGCAAAATGTAACGGTAACTAAAGCAGCAGAAGATACAGCTTGGAGACGCGATGTAAGAGATGAATTCGTATGAAATATTCTTAAATAATAATAATTCCAATTAAAATTTTAATCTAAAAGAAATACCTTTTTGTAAAAATTTTAGGAAAAAATGGAAATGGAAACAGGTACAGCTTGGGGTAAAAGTGTTCCGCATAATTTACAAAGAGTTTGGCCACCACCTGAAAGTGAAGTTCGTACAATTAGATCTTCAGGTAAGTTCCCTCTCTAAATGACTAATTTTAATCTTAAAAATACAGAAGAATTTAAATTGATATCAATTGTTATTCTGTTGAAATTATGAATAAATGAATGAATGAAAATAAAACAATTAAAATGACAGCATTAAATTTTCTCGAAATCATGAAAATTATTTGATCTTTTGGTGACCTCTTTGAAAATTATTGAGGTGAAATTCTTTTCTGCTTACTTCAACTGTTGTTTATTGGAATAAAGTAGTTTAGAACTTCCTCCCATTGCTCATTAACACACCTGGCAGTGTTTTCTTGGCTGTTGACGTATACATTCCTCATCATAGTACAATGACAATCATTTCACTCACATTGATAAGATCCTTCAAATTTGGACCATTTTATTTGAAAGACTGATACATCTTAGCATTTGAAATATATACATATTTTATAAATTTAACAAAAATTTATTAGGTTCTCGACTAAAAGCTGTCCAATGGCCACCACCAGAATTTGAACAACAAATTCAGCAGGATGTTGATATTCTTCAAACACGATTACCTGTGAAGCCAAATCAACGCCAATGGCCACCACCACCACCGGAATATGGACGTAAGTTAAGGCAAATGAATGATAATTAAAATTTTCAAATCTTTTTTTTTCAAAGTTTCATAAATTAAAGCATGCAATTATTAAATTTTTTTAGCGGTTGTAGAGCAGACTGAAACATTAATGGAGCAGAAGCGAACAACAAAACAGGTTAGCAAAATTTTGGAATTTATCTAAGTTATTGATATCTTGCAGTAAGCTAAAGTAGTCATTCATTATTGCATTATCCAAATTTTTCAGTGGTATTAAAACCAGAAGGGAAGAAAAGTTGAGTGTTTAAAGATACCGAAAACAAATTTCGTTTCTTTGATAAACGAGAAAATCTTTGATCCAAATTTTGTTTTAAAATTAAAATTATTACAATGAAATCAGTTCCTGCTTTTCCTTCCCATTCTTTCATCTCTCCATCTGTTTTCTTCTCTTCAGCATCTTTTATCAATAATTGCAACTTTTTATTTTAAAAAAAATTAAAATTAGAAATTAAAATAAAAAATTCTTTGTAATTTTTAATTTATGCAAAACTGAGTATGCAAAAACTTAAGGTTTGGTAACATGCACTTCACCACCAGTACCTTTCTAATTTCCTGATCAATTGATCGGAAGATATTCATTACAGTTCTTTCTTTACCGGAAAAACTTTTTCATAATTTTTTTTTTTCATTACCGGAATTTCAGGTGCCCGCTCAACCGATGATGCAAAAGGGGACTGCAGTAACAAAGGGAATGGTACGCGTTGGTTGAGAAAAATGAAATTAAATTTTCCCTTCTCCTTCTCTCTCTTTCTCTCTCTCATTTTCCTTTGCTTTCTCCGTCCAAAAAAAAATGAATTTTAAAGTGCAAATGTAAGAAAATTCTAACAAGGAGCTACCAATTAGTATCCTAAGCATTTCATTTTTTTTCCTTTCCATCTTTTGCTTCCATACTAACTAATTACTTCCTAATTATCCTTTCCAATTAAACGAAATTAAAGTATTATTCTTTGAAACATTTCACTGTATAGTCAGTCATTTCATACATTTTGTCGATTCAATTTGAAGGAAATAAAAGTTGCATTGAAGGAAACTTCTAGAATACACTCAGACAGGAATGTGAAAATTAAAGTAAGCGAAATTAAACGATCTTTTCCGATAAATTAAAACTCTCTCAATCATTCGTTGAATTTTTAAATTTACAAAAGACAATAATGTACACATTAGCTTAAATGAAAAACAATCAACTTTCAGTTGACCAAAAAAAAAATTCATAACTACGAAATTATCATTCAAATAATGAAATGACTTATAATTCATTTGAATTTTTGAATTTTGATAGTTTTAAATTTTGACATTCATTCGACTTTTGAATTTTGATGAGAGCAACAATTTAAATTAGCAAACTCAACAACGCTATCAGGATAATAACATTCCGGAAAATATGAAAAAAGAATATGAGAACTAATGAATGGCATATAGTGAATGATTAGAGGAGTGATCTGAAGTCACCGACTAATGAAATGAAGCCTAGATCTGAAGTCCCAAATTAATAAAATAAAGTCTAGATTAGGAGTCCCGTTGATAGCTTAATACACACAACACATACACACGCATACACACACAGACACACACACACATATACACACATACACACACACACACACACGCACACACACATATACAAACACATATATATATACATAGGCACTGTATCGCGTATGGAACAGTTTTCGAAATTAGCACTGACAAGCCCAGAGTTATATCAGTATCAGTTAACATAAGCATAACGACATCTGATGACATGAAAAGATCGAGCATTTACTTGATCGGATCAATCTACGGATTTATCACGTCAAAGGCATTCACGTGCAAAAATGAAAAAGCAGAAAAAGGTTAACATCGATGTGACGTGAAGAAAAGTGAACAGGTAACAATTGCTATAGCTTACTTTCTCAAGACTGAAACATTTAGACAAAGCTAGAAAGCTTATCTCACATTCCTTTGATCGATTCTTAATTCGAATATCTTTTTTAATCGAGTATTATTTTTACAACTTTCAACTTGATAAACTCATTCTTTCAACTGATAAATAATTTCAATTTACTTAAGCTATATCATTCCTGAACAATAAGCTATATCCTTGCTGAACAATAAGCTATATCATTCCTGAACAATAAGCTATATCCTTGCTGAACAATAAGCTATATCATTCCTGAACAATAAGCTATATCCTTGCTGATAATTCCTCCTCCCTGCTGATACTTCATTTCAATTCATTCGCTAACTCATATTGTCCA